ATTTAGCTGTAGCATTATTATATTCTTAACTTAGCATTAGCCTACTGTACAATTTGTATATACGTATTATAAACTATTCAAACTGTTTGAAAACTACAACTCCCGTAGCGTGTGCACTAAGTCAATGTTAGGTTATAATTTTTTTCCGATTTCTCTTATTTTAGTCTCGGGACTGTCTGTGTTAGCCATGTGAATATACCCCATGCCCATGGATTTCAATCTATTTATACAACTTGAAGGCGAATAATACTAGTTACCCCCCCCCCCCCCCCCCATATTAGTACATACACTTCGGGGGCGACGATTAAAATGATGTTCAATAGTTCTTACTTACCTAAACTATTTTGAGTTACGACAGGAAGCCAGTTGCCAGTATTACTTGATTCAGTAGCGTTCATACACCAGGATGTCGTGATAACGCAGATTAACATAAAAACGATTGAGATTTTCATCTCGAGGTTTCAGGATATTTACGTTATAACTGAATGAATAAAATTTGTTTGTGTTTATTCCAAAGCAATACGTAACCCTGAAATGCTGCAAGTCTCATTCAAACTTCCACGAGGAGGTTGCTACTCTAATAAATGACGCTACTCGTAACTCGTTGTTCTGAAACTCGCGGTTCAAAGTAAGTGTGATGACTGGATCGTATTTTTTCTAGTTAGTTTTTATTAGCTCGTTCCCCAGCTTTATATTTTAATTGTTAATCGAAATTTAGGGGGTAGTAAATATTTTGCTATTAGTGATAAAACTATTTGTAATTTATAAAAATGTGTTATGTATTGGAATGATCTGCCATATGAGCCACTCTCCGAATATTCGTATACATTTTTAGGTGCTCCCGAAGTATGCGAACCAAGATGGCGGACATCGGAACGTAACATGGGTAACAGGTTAGGGTTAGGCGATAATTTTTTTCCAATTTTCCTTATTTTAGTCCTATTATCAGTTCGAAGACTAGCCAAGAGCCTCCCGTAGTATTTATACCTAAAATTATGGCCTAACCCTAACCTAGTACACATATTACATTCCAATGTCCGCCATCTTGGTTCGCATACTTCGGGAGCCCCCATTTTTATTTACCCAAGAATTGAAGTTTGGTGCCACACCTTTTCAAATTTCAGAGGACGGGGGTGTTCACCTCCTATAGGGGGTCACTGGTTCTCAGTTTCCCCAGGACAATTTATGTGTCCTCGCAACTTGAGAAAGTAAAATTATTATTCACTTCAACCATGCACATATTTATAGACCACATCCATGGCCGGCTTTATGCCACTGCAAACTATACGTCCGCAATGCTCCATGGCATCCGCGCTCATTCTAAGTGCAAGTTATTAAACACAACTATCATATGTCAACGTGTTTATACTGCATAACCGGACTCGTAGGACTAAATAGGTTGAATTCTGCTTCCATAAACAGTTAAAAAGTAACAGGACGTAAGCACTATATTGCTCTCCATTACAAAATCTTCAATTTTCGAATATTTTTCTTGTCTCCACTTAGATTGGGCCCGCGCAATCCGTTTCGTAAAGGGCCAATTATAGTAAGGGTCGTCTCTGGCCATTTATAGACCAGACCATGTCAGCAATGATAAATTAAAACAGCCGTCTATCTTTACCGTACACCACGAAGCCGATCGTTTCGTTTGACTTCATCGCCTGAGGCAAACGCAACATCAGACTAGAAATAGCAAACTTACTAATTCTTACCTGTCGCTTCGTCTATTTTTGAGTTTGACCATTTTTGTCGCCCCATAATTTAGATATAATACATATATATAAACTCATATTTCAGTCTTTAACTTTTCGAAAGCAAACAAATGTGTTGAAGAGCAACAATTCTGCTTTCAGAAAGGTATTATCATATTAAATCACGTCTAGAAATTACCAAGTTCAAACACTTTTCTATCAAGCTAACTATTCTATTAACTACTTGTCTCTATGCAATCGATATCAAACTATACTGATATGTTTTCGTCGCCTCGCTTTTATGCCCAAACATTTACCGCAATCGGATATATATAGCAGAATACACATAATTATCTCGTGACGCAGTTCGAATTACCGATGTCGTGTGATAAATATTGACATCGCAGAGTCAATTTTAGTTGTTTGCTATATTCTATTTTTAGAGAAATCGCAGTGAGTTTCATATGCTATTAAATTTCAACGCAAAGCTATTTAAAATTATTTGTAAGTTAAGAGAGAATGGAAAAGTTGAATGATTATACAAGCTGACGTACACTGCTAAAGCGGACACCAAACTTTTAGGTAATATATCATTTATTATTTCTGTAGGTAATTTTGTGAACAAGGATGTTTGAACCTCTGTGGAAATGGCAACTTTGACGTAGGTAGTTACTGAAAGGAGAGAAATGTAGCCTACAGAAACTCCAAGGCAGTATAAAGTAGCTACAGATAATTCACGAAGACTTCAATTACAAAGTTTTTGTTTTTACCGCCTGCTTATTTAGAGTTTGACCCAAAATTATCTTTATACTGGAGTCGCATTCGAAATTTGGTTTATCCGAAGTTGTCATTGAATTGGCTCAGTAGTTGGTAAATTTCTTTGACAACAAGTGGTTTAGTGTGTGCAATTTTACAACAATAGAATAGTTTGTAGTGTTTTTTCTTTAATCTCATTTCGGTGACATATTTTCAAAAATTCAGCACGAAATGCCATTTCTGCTATAATTGCTTTGTATTTCTTATTATAACAAGCCGGTAGGCGCCCAATATGGATCTCCGCCATTGCTTGAGGCCCGCGTAATTTCAGTTTATTAAAAGATAATACGGTGACGTCATTGTACCGAGAAAAGTGGGATAGGATTTACATATTTATCCCGGGGGAGGGGAAAGCCAATAAGACGGCTTAACCATATGGTGAACCACGGCCTCTCGTCCGGTTACCAGTCCATGTCGGGTATGGGATTAGTCAAGCATGTACTTGATGGTGGAGGAAGCCGTAACCGTCCAGCGGTTACGTAAACCACCCTACGACGACTAGAAGTCCAGCAATCCTCTCGCACATAACCATTTCGCATGGGATTCGAACCTGCGAACCCACGCAGAGTAATTAGAGATGCGGTGGCGAGCGTATTCCTAACGCTTAGCACGATGAGCCGTGCCGTGTACCAGTGTACCAAACGATCGGCGCGTTTTTTCGCTGTTGCCATGGAAACGAACATCCAATTCGGACTTTCTTTAAAACGCACATTACTAGGGTGACAAGATAACCCACGTGTGAGATTTCATCTAAATCGGCCCAGCCGTTTAGACGTTACTGCTTGGACACACACACAGATAGACAGACAAAAAAAAAACGATAATAAGGGTCTCCTATAGCGGAGATTTAATAATAAAAACTACGCAGGGCTGTCAAAAACTCGTTTTCGTTTACAATCACCTCTCAAGTCCGAGTTATTTCATTGCAAAAGCAGATATAGCCGAATACGTATATACAAGAAATAAATCGAATTGACAAGATATATTTAAGATGACACATGACTTCTATTCTATATTATATTAGCATGCACAAATTATGGTACTCCAGAAGTATGTGCACCAAGATGGCGGACACCTGAACGTCGTATGTGTACCAGGTTAGGTTTAGGCCATAATTTTAGGTACAATTTGTACGGGAGTCACTTGGCTAGTCACCGAACTCGCAATAGAACTAAATTAAGGAAAATTGAAATAAAATTGTGGCTGTCCCTAACCTGGTACACATACGACATTCCGGTGTCCGCCGCCATCAGGGTGCACATACTTCTGGAGCGCCCGAATTATCATCATATGACGAGATCGAATATTGAAATAAACAAGGCATGTAACTCCCGAATAGGCAAATGTAGGGAAAATATAGTTTTATACGATATATTTAATTATTACTAGTTGTGCACGTAATTTATTCCCAACTACATACGAAAATTAATTAGTAGCGAACAATGCGTTCTTTGCTATCAACTCCACGCGTGTGTTTCTTTCTTCCCTATCTCCATCAGTGTTCGTGTCTTTGACTCACTTCCCTATCTCCCTCAGCTTTCGTATCTTGTACCCACTTCCCTATCTCCCTAGCCTCCCTTTCCTCCACCCACTGCCCTATCTGTCTTCCACCCACTGCCCTATCTCCCTCAGCCTCCCTTTCCTCCACCCACTTCCCTATTTCCCCAGCCTCCCTTTCCTCCACCCACTGCCCTATCTCCCTCAGCCTCCCTTTCCTCCACCCACTGCCCTATCTGTCTTCCACCCACTGCCCTATCTGTCTTCCACCCACTGCCCTATCTCCCTCAGCCTCCCTTTCCTCCACCGACAGCCCTATCGTCTCCAGACTTCCTATCCCCGACCTAATGCCCTACCTCCCCCATCCCTCCTATGTATTGTCTAGCTTCGAATCCTATTTAACTTATGGGAAAGTCAAACATTCTTGGCGAATTGTCCCAATAATATATTTACTATTTATATGTGATAAGCTCTTTTAATTTAACGAGTCTGAACTATTTTTAACTCAACCCGATTCCTTTGAGAAACAGACGGAAAAACAACAAAAAATATGTTACATTGGAGCAAAATTTATTTCGAATTAATGAGGCAAGTTTGTAATACTTTTCATTTTCGAGTTTTTAAAAGTGCATAAATCAAATATCAAAATCTCTGAATTTTACAACCATATTTTTATAATGCAAAGTAGTCAGACTGGTAAAACGAAACAATATGACAGATAAAACCATTTAAACACATAGGTCATACTGTTATAGAATGTTTGCTATTTTTATTCAAACTCTCAATAAATTTTCGACATCAATTTCAAAGTGGGAATTAATGGTTTATATATCATAGGCATACGTTTATTAGATCTGGATCTCACAAATAACTCCATGAGGCTCCCAGGCAGGATCATTGTCCATACCTTGTATTCTCGAGAACGAATTCAAAAAGAGATGAACATTTGTGGAATCTTTATAACGAATTCCCGTGAGTGGAGAACCTTGATTCCATTTAATAAAGGAATCTGCAGGTGTGACTTCACGAGTCTGAGAACAAACAGTAAAAATTATTAGATGAAGATTATCGTTGGATTATTCATGATCAACTGTAATTCTTAATAGTCTCTTATATGCTGTAAAAAAACTTTAGGTTCATGTGGCTGGGTATTAACTTGTTAGGAACAGCACAATTCCTATAAAATTAAACACTGATTAAGATATTCGTTATCACTCGTACATACGTATTACATTTCAAAAGTACGGAACCTCAAACAGTGACCCCTGTACTCAAAGGATCTGATGTGTTATGAGCGCAATCTACAGTAATGAAAAAGAAGAAACCAAGCATTTAGCAGATTCCTTATTCACTTGACATACATATTTCCATCACAATCATCAGGACAGATGGTTTCCTTCAAAAAGTATAAATAGAACAGGCATATGACAATAACCATTGGATCAAAGCGGATTCCAGTCCATATTTGGATCCACGACCTTCCCTTTAGAATATTCTTTCTCAGGTAATCCATAATCGCATTGTAAGATTCTTCATCTCGAATCAAACCAACATCTGCGTTACGTTTCTTACAAATATCAACTGCTTTGTCGTAGTTAACATCTTCTTCAACTCGTATCACAGCGAAAAAACAGATATTTCTAATCTTCAATTCGCAGTTTTCTGAAATGTAAGAAATTTCATTTGCAGTTTTACATACTCAAACAGTGTTATTATTGATCATAATAAAAATTTTGCCCGTACCGATCAACGTGTACTTTCTGTCTCCATAATTGGTTTTCATATCTAATTTACACATTGCAAATTACACTTCAATAGGTGTCTGGTTAGACATCTTCTTAGAACACAGCTCGCTACGTTTTAGAGAAAGTATCTTACTCTTGCTTACTATAGACAAACTCTTACGACAGTTATGAAGTTGTTATTACTGTGGTATTCTGAACAGGGATGTGCAGCTAGGAAACTTCACAATCGAGTGCAGCGTCAAATAAAATTTGACTTTGAGTTGAAAAACATGGGCATAGTCAAGTTAACAACGGTAAGTAAACTTGATAACTTGAGTTTCTGTAAAATTAGACTTTCCACTATTGCCATTGAAAATATGAGTTTTCTAATCCCGAATTTCGGGGAAATCCGGAAGCTTAAAAATTTTACCCAAGTTCCGACTCCGGTGGAATCAAGTTCGACTCCAAACTCCGGAATGAGATCACTTCATTTTGTCATTGACCATATAAGTTTACCTGGGGAAGGAGTCGGTTTCAATGTTGTTTTGGTTGTTGTCGTCGGTCTCTGTTGGTTTCCAGATTGAACCTGTCGAGGCTTCTCCGTTGCAGAGAGTTTTTCTTCAATCCGCTCCATTGCTGAATAGAAGAATATACATAAGTTAGAGTCTATTTCCAGCATTACACCAAAAAGTCTTTAAGATCTATCTGTACTAATTTTCGCGTACATATGGTACTCCATTTTGTTGTAAATCTATGAATTAAAAATTTGAAATTATTAGTATGATTTTATTTCATCGGCTGAGGTACATTTGCGCGATTTTACATTTCTTCATCTCATTGTTTGTTTGCTTTTGTTCGTTCAATTCTTTCAGTAGCTCGTTGTTCATCGTTTCAAGTCGGACTAAATCTAAAGAAAAAAAATATTACATAAAACACTGGATGCATGTGAATTGCCGAGTCTACTCATTGTTATTCATTTTTCTAATTCAACTCGTTTTCGTTCGTTGTACATATTTGGAATTTTGTGTGACATGGTATTGTGCTAAGTGTTGGTCTCCAATGCGGATTTTTCAATTTCAATGTCAAAATCATAGAAGCATGTTTTCAATAGCATCCATTTTCTAGACTTCATACAGAAAAAAAGTTCCTAACTCACTAGATTAAAATAAACCACACACACCTTTCTTCAATTCCCTGATTTCAGCTGATTGTTCTTTACGGCTCTGTTTTAGGTCAACGATTTCAGCTGATTGTTCTTTACGGCTCTGTTTTAGGTCAGCTATTTCGGCAAATTGCTCCGCATTTTCATTCTGTATTTCACGAATTACTGCGTGACATATACAGTTAAAAATTAATAATCATGGCAGTAATACCTTAAAGCAAGATTTCAAAGTAGATTTTTTTTAAATTCCACCTCCTTTAGTTATCAAACGTACTTATGCAAAGTTTGGTCAAGTTAGAAACACTGAAGAAACTTCGGATAACGAATAATCGTATCAATATTACGAACTTGAAATTTCTTTCTCAAAGCTATGAATGCTTTTCATTTTTTCATCAACGTTTTCTTCCAACTCTTTGAATTCTGATTTGATGTTACTGATGTCTGAGAAATAAAGTAAAATAAATTTGACATTTTGATATATTTTCAGTTTCTCGAATGAATACCAGATTTAATCAGACTTTTGGTGATTGGCGTTTACGATTCATGGTAGTTTACAATAACATTCGAATGGCTTAATCTAATTTTAGTGGTTGTAGCATCAGTAATTTCATCACCCAAATAGTCAGTCAATAGTAACATGAAATGGAAAAGTTTCAAATGGCGTTGGCGTAAAACATTTGCGTATCTTGCAGATTGTTTTTTGATTTTGCTAGATTCGCGATTTTCTGATGAAATAAATAAATTTTTTGATTTTCTGAACAGATATCTGGAAGGAATAACCTAAAGCTACAGAAAATTTGAAAATAACTTTTTATAAACTCTGATTTTATAAACTCTCCCACTTTTGACACCCTGTTTCGTTGCTAACATTGGCACAACGCAACAATACATATTAAACATTGATCATAAACAAACGTCTACAAAGTAACACGATTATACAATGTCTGGTGATCCAGACGAATAGATGAAATGCGCCGTGACAATTGAAAGAGTTGTCGCGCCATTTATCAACTAATATCGGGGTTCTTTTATTTTTAAGGATAAAAACCCTATTCAATCAAGTACTTCGGGATGACGAAATAAATATTGTAAGTTCTAACCGGAATAATTCCGCTTCAATGCATCAATATTTTCTGCGTTTTTGTTGGAGTTTCCTTCCAGCTCTTTCAATTCTGATTTGATACTTCCAATATCTGAATGAATTTGAAATGAATTGTCACATAGTAGATCATATTCAAATTGTTTGGAACAATTAATATATTAAAGTCAAGTGTGTGGTAAATGAATACACGATAAAGACAGACAGCCATTGAATGAGGCTTTCATCACCAATACGTAATTTATCGATCCAATGTCAAAACAGTAAAAATTAGAGACTCGACTATATTTAGCAATTTTTGCTCGACTCATTTTTGGGCCAAGTAATCTAAAATTATCAATTTAAATAAAACCTAAGTACCCATAGTATTTCTGGATACGAAAGGAAACAGGCTCAAAGCATTCTGAGGTTGTTCCGCATTCTTAGATTTGCACGTAATAGGAAACTCTTTGTCATGCAGATGTTCGTCAATGTTGAAACCTGGTCTGTCCCATCCTACAGCAACAGGATCACATTGTGCAATCTGGCAACCAGGCTTGGGAGAACAGTGAAACACTGTTTCATCTTGACACCAGGATGAGACGATGACGTAGATTAAGCTAAAAACTATTGAGATTTTCATCTCGAGGTTTCAGGATATTTATTTACCTTATACCTAGAAAAATCAAAATTGTTTGAGTGTCTTTCAAAAAAAACGCTGAATATAGTTGGAAGGACTTTTTTTAAGGAAATTTATTGTTAGGATTTGCGCACTAACTTCGAAAAAGATTTCTCAACCGTAAATTAATATCCAAGCAAAATACTGGCGATCACTGATGACGTCTAATAGCTACTGTGACCATATACTGCAGCGGAGGCCATAATGCTAGGCGCAAAATGGATTTTACTTTTCACTTTCCAAGAAAACCTCCCATTTTTTACATTTCCATAAGGTAAAATAACGCTATAACTACCACTTAAATAATAAACAGGGGGGGTGCTCCCGAAGTATGCGAACCAAGATGGCGGACATCGGAACGTAACATGGGTAACAGGTTAGGGTTAGGCGATAATTTTTTTCCAATTTTCCTTATTTTAGTCCTATTATTAGTTCGAAGACTAGCCAAGAGCCTCCCGTAGTATTTATACCTAAAATTATGGCCTAACCCTAATCTAGAACACATATTACATTCCGATGTCCGCCATCTTGGTTCGCATACTTCGGGAGCCCCACATGGGGGCTATGAGTGCGAAAAGCCTCCGGAAACGGGCCATAAAAGGTTAAGAACTACTGCTGTATATATTTATAGCGTCGAATTACACTTTAGTAAATAAGCATTGATGACGGACTAAAAAAAACAATTTTTCATAACTGAAGTTCTTGAAGAAACCTAAGTAAACGGTCAGTAAACGGGCGATAACTCACATTCAATCAAGTTTTACGGCTAAAATTTTCAAATATAAAATTTAAAGGATTCATAAATATTTGGCTCTAATAAAATTATTTGTTATTTATAGGTCTTTTCAATGCAGTGCTTGTGCATCGCAGTTTTGTAAATGAAAATTTGAAATCTTGTGGGACATAGGGTCCGCGCTGATTCGAGGTGTGAAATATTAAATTTCCCTCTTATAAATCATTTCGTATAGATCAACATTCCTTTACTGTATACCTGGACTAGTAAGGGTCGTAAGTAAGCTACATCGTAATTCTGTATTTAGGTAAGAAGGAATTCGTATCGCAAAGAGTGTGTCGGTATAGTTGACGATCATTTATACACCAGGCCAAGTCAGCAATGATAAATTAAAGCAGCCGTCTATCTTTACCTCACACCACGACGCCGATTGCTTCGTTTGACTTCATCGCCTGAGGCAAACGCAACATTAGACTCGAAGTAACAATCTTATTAATTCTTACCTATTAATTCTTACGCTATTTTAAAGTTTTAGTCTGAATTTTCAACCAAGTTTGATTATTCTTCTCATCTCACATTCTTGATATAGCACACACATATACATATATTATATATATACCTATAGTTTAGTCTTTTAGACTTCGAAAGTAGCCGAATAACTTTAACAGCAACAATTCTACTTTTAAAAATGTCCTTGAATCACGTCTAGAAATTACCATGTTCAAAACACTTTCTTTTGAATTTCGAAAATTTAGCTAACTGTTCCATTAGCTACTTGTTTTTATGTAATCGATATCAAACTATACTGATATGTTTTTCCGCTTCGCTTTTATGCCTGAAAATTTACCTCATTTGGATATATATAGAAAATTTCATGCACTTATGTCGTGACGCAGTTTCAGAACCTAATCAGACTAGCGACGACGCGTGGCCATTATGTGATAAACAATGACATCGCAGAATTAATTTCAGTATTTTGCAATATTTTATTTTTAAAGAAGTCGCAATTAATTGTAAAATATGAGTCACATATGCTATTAAAATATACAGCAAAGTTAGCTGGATTTAATAGTAATTGAAAAGTGAACACAGTTAGTTTGTAACTTTGTGAATGCTTATAAAAGATAAACACCGAGAAGTAAAGGTAATTAAAAATAAAAAAAAATCCTAATTTTTTAAGTATTCGCGATAATAAATTGGGATTTACTATAGCCAGTAGCTTAATATTGCACCAAACACAAAATACACTTTATGAATAAATAATGCAAGAAGATGTAAAAATTGCAATCCTGGGTAACGGGAGGCGCGGGAAACCTTTAGTGGTCTAAATATGTCAAGCCGGGTATTTTTTAATAATTTTCTAATGATTTGTCTAGGACACTGGTTCTCAACCAGTGGGCCATGGCCCACTGCTGGGCCACAAAAGATTTTGAGGTGGGCCACAGAAGTATTGAAAATTGCTTGTTTTATTTATGTCAAAATAGTCAATTTTGATTGTAGCAGCAATCAATGACAATGCTGTTTCTGCTACTGAGTGCTACGTAATTTTCATTCTAATTATAAACGTTGAAGCCTGAAGGGTCCATTTTTGCAGAAAGATCTTGATTTTTTTGTAGTTTTCCCCTTGCAATAAAAAGTGAATGGGCCACGAGATTTTTTGGGCAACAAAAGTGGGCCACGGAAGAAAAAAGGTTGAGAACCACTGGTCTAGGACGTGGGTGAGCAAAAAGCGCCCCGCGGGCCTCAACAGCTATTGGTATCCAGAAGACAAGCATCCCGAATTTCTCGGAGTGACTGAGTGGTATTTAAATTTCACATTTCAACTCTGTTCTTCTGGCCTGACCCATGCGTGTAGCTAGGAAATTTTTGAAGGAAGGGACTGAAATTTGTAATTGCCATTGTCTTGAGGGTCTAAAAAGCGTTTCAAAGTACGAATAATCGTATGTATAATACAGATTTTTTTTGCGTTCAAAAGGTGTGTGTGTGTGTGTGGGGGGGTCGGCCCGCAATCCCTTCTGGGTACGCCCCTTGATACTCACACTCGCAAAAATGCCGGGAGTAAAGATTTTGGATGACTTCAAGACTTCACCAGAGACATTAATATCGAGATTTTTCCTTTTTGGGCTTTGAGGTCTGCATTCGTCAAGATTTTGCTATTTGAGAGTTGAAGCCCGAGTCGATTTTTCAGTACTCCGGATTTGGAGTCATTGTTTATAATCCGGAGTGATATGAAACTTTTTTTAGACTCCAAGCTTTTGACGAGGTTAGCGAAATCAATGCCTCATATAGTGCACACTAGATGATGATAGCGAGCTGTCAAAATTTTGTTTAAGCGAGGTATTGAAACTGCAATGTCCTAATCGACAGCGGAACCTGTCGGAGTGTTTCTTCTACCGTCAAAATGAAGCCGTCAAAATGCGGTACTTACGTAGTATGTGTACCAGGTTAGAATTAGCTAATAATTGTATTCCTATTTTCCTTATTTTAGTTCTATTACGAGTTAGGGGTCTGTCTGTGTTAGCCAAGTGAATATCCTCCCTGCTCATAGGCTCCCGTCCCTTTATAGAACTTGATGTAAAGTAGGCGAACAAAATTAGTTACCTTCATGTTTGTACACATACTTCTGAAGCGCCGAAAATGCTTGTCTGAGGCTGCATTTCCGGGTCAAAATCATGGTAATTCGAAATCGAAAGCCGGGTTCGTTTTTCCTTACTGAATCCGGATTCAAAAAGTTGAGACTTTTTCAGACTCCAAGTTTTGTCAGGGTTGTCTGTTTCATAAATAGCAATTTTGCGTAGAATGAAACGCTTTTTAGACTAACAAGACTCGAAAACCAATGCTTTCCGGCGGAACCCGCCTGCTGTTACGGTCTTTTTTGACAACTACAAAATTTCAGAAACCCTCGTTTATAAATTTGCTTCCTGCAAATTTAAAAATATCTTTGATAAGACCGATGCGCTTGCTTTTTTATCACAAAAGATCGAATTTCGGCTCTATTTATGTGATGGTAGGCCTGAGTGCCGGTTTAACATAAGTTAGTGTCGAAAATTTTTTTACCGGGATCCCCATTGAGCCCTTTTGCGACCCACCGGGGGTAGATACCCCAGTTTGCAGGGTCTGTGTGTACCAGGTTACGGTTCGGTCATAATTTTATTCCGATTTTTCTTATTTTAAGTTCTATTATGAGTTCGGACACTGTCTGTGTTAGCCAAGTGAATATCCCCCTGCCCATAGGTTTCAGTCCCTTTACACAACTCGATGTAAAAGTAGGCGAACAAAATTAGTTACCGCCATTGGTAGACATACTTCTGGAGCGCCGAGGAGAGGGGGGATTTTGAAATGAATAGGATTGTTATATCCGCTTTGCGGATAGTTACCGTAGTAAACGGAGTCGCGCTAAAATTTTGAGAAATATTTAACGAACTCCGAGGTAATTCAGATAAACCATGAGTAATCGGGCGTACTCATTATCATTTTGATCATTTTTCCGGCGCCTGGAGTTTGCTTGCCCATGTTTGCTTTTTGTGAATTTGAAAATTAGCAATACCGCTAATAATACCGATGCGCTAGAATATTCTGGCACGGTCCCATTACATTTGAACCCACGTACATTTGAACCCACGACAAGTGCACCTGTATGCTATTGCACCTATGGAATTTCTTTTGTTTCACGGATAGTTAAACCCATACTAACCCTAACCCATGGGGTTTAGCACCCGCATATAGATTGAACCCGCGAATATACACATGGGTTCAATGTACGGTCACCTTCTGGTACAAAAGAACGAATCTTGGCTCGGTATTGATGGGTATCAGAACTGGTTCAAAATCTTTCAAATTTGATCGATATTTTGTTTTAATATAAGTTAGTGTCGTAAAAGATTTTACCGCGACCCCAATTGAGCCCTTCCGTGACCCATCGGGCTTCGAGGCTCCCGGTTTGTAGAGCCCAGCACTATATCATTCTCCTAACTTAACCTAACGAGAGAAATTAGTAGGCGACGATTTTAATGATTTTCCCGGCGCCTTGAGTTTGCTAACTTATGTTTGCTTCTGTGATCTTTGACTTGGGATATTTTAACAACAAATTCCAGTGGCTTTTACTGACTAGGTAAATATTTGCTTTGGCATTAGAACGGAAATAATTCCGGCGCCGGAATATGGCGATTTAATAATTTAATGTTAGTGTGTAGTTGTCGTTTTCCTATAGCCTTGTTTGGAATGATGTGGTATTTT